CCAGCTCTAAGTAGGCCAATTAAAAAATCTAATTCCTCAAATTTGTATGTTCAGTCTTGGCTTGGAGTGGGTAATGGCAATATGTTAAGCCACTGCCCAGCAAGCAAAACCTTTAAGCCAGTTGTGATTGAGGCGGGTGAACTTGATGATGGAGAGACCTGCACTTGGAACTGGACTCTAACCCACCAGTTCCATTTCAGGTGGCAGCAGTTTTTGGTCACTCATTATTACAAGATCATGTTGAAATTTTGTTTTGTTTGCTCTTAAGATAGATACTTAGGTAATGTGGATTTGTTTTGGTAGCTGCTTCACTGAATGAAATGCTACTTATGTAAAAGCTGCAAATAATATTCCTAGGATGAGAAATTGTCTGGTTTTATTCTTTTTAAAGGGTATTTTAACTAAAACTATGGAGATACTAGGAGGATGACATTCTAAGGCTGAAATAACTTATGGTACAAGCTTCAATTTCTGTAAGATGCCACTGTCATGTTTCAAATTCTTTGATAAGGCAGTTTTGTATTAGTTCTAAGGTTGAGTTGAACTGTTGTATCTTGTAATTCTTTTGGGTGCCAGAGGTAAGTTTCTAATTGGTTTGCTGCCCCACATGCTGTTTAATTGTAGCATCTGTGCACTGGGATCTACACTGGCTAGGAGACATCTAGCCTGCTGTGAGTGGTCAGAGGACCACAGTACATGGGGCACCCCATCTGTTGCTCTTAGTTTATGGTGCTTCCCAACAAGGGCAGCTAGTGACCACTGTTCGTGGAAAGGAGCCAGAAGTCATGGCTGAGGGTTACCTGTGGACTTCAGGAGTTAACAGAGTGCTCTGGAGACACTCCCGTTGTCAAAGTGAGAGTTAGGGAAAAGCATAATCTTAAGAGTGTGGGTTATACTTGGGAGGGGGGTGAAATTCCCCAAGAAGAGTCTTGAAAATACACTGGTGGGGGGGATATGTTTTTCAGAAAGGTACACTGAGCTAATACTGCCAGTTCTTTATAAGTGCTGGAATGTGTGTTAAAAGGGGAATGAAGGAGTCCTAATTTTAGCAAAATATTCCACAGATTCATGTTCCCAAGTTACAGATAAAAGCTGCATAAATTTACAAGTCCACATAGTATACCTAGCAAAAAAAAACAAAAAGAAAAGCAGCTATTCTGAGACTGATTTTCTACTGATTGATCAGGTGTTTTAGGTTCAAATGAAGGCATATATTCAGAATGCTTTTAAACTGTTTAACATACATGAGATTATTACCAGCATAGGACAGGGTGCTACTATTAGGTCATCTTTCCATGAAATTATAGGTGTATTCCTTCTAAGAAACTTTTTTTTTTCCTTTAAAATGATTTCTGTTGGATTTGGGGTGAAATTTTGTTTTAAAAGTTTGGCTTTGCTCTAATATGATAAGCATTGCTGGCAGCGGCCTCTAATCCTTAAGCTCCTAACACCAAGATATTTACATGTTGAACATTATCTGGAAAGGGGAAAGACAATACTCACCAGTTAATTCTTGTAATCAAGATTACAAAACAGGGATCTATTCACTAACACTGTATCATTCTCAATATATAAAAAGCACTTTGTATTTAAAACTTTATTATAAATATATATATAGTTTTTTTAACCTAGAAACTAGATATTACCTCTTGGTTGTTTGCCACATTAATATCATCTTCTCTTAGTGTTGAAACTTGCCAGTTAACAGTCCTTTCTCTGTGTACCTGACAGTGTGTAGAGGTGACTGTACAATCAAAACTCAATTGCTCAATTTTCTTTTTCTCATGTTAGGCCAATGAGTTTTAGGTATAATCCTAGCCATTATGTGTGAGAAGTTCTTTTATTGCTCCTACAAATTTCCATACTAAGACAGTGCAGCCATTCCATTCTGCCAAAAGCTGATCACTGCTCCCAAGGTATTAGCAAAACAGTTTCTTCTGTTGAGAAGGTTTGGTGTGCTATTTCCTATTAAAAGTTGCATTTAAATAAGCTTTGGGACATTTGGGGAGAAGAGTCTGAGAGGTAAAATAAAAATATTCTGGGAAAATCGTGATTCTTCAGTTATGCTGAATCAGCACGCTGGTTCTGAGTGGTAGGTAACAAAGAATCTTTGTTCAACCAGGAGTATGGCCAGCCCCTGAGTGACAGTTTGGAAGCAGTCAGTTGTGCTGGGACTTATTTAATGTGCTTGAAGGTATCTAATTGAAATCCAAAAATGTACATCAGCTGCTAGATGTAGAACATAAATAAGTTCCTCACATCTATCTAAATTTTTTGTGATAGTTGGGTTGTTCATTGGTCAGCTAGACTCTGAGATGATTGGGTATCTGAGATGCTGGCCACGTTCCGGAGGCAGGGAAAGAGATAACCTTAGTCCAGACCTTAAAAGTGAATGTTTAGAAATTCTGCTTTGTAGGATTAAGAGACTATACTTCATTCCTTCTTTAGCCCCCACCCCCTCCCCTAGGTTACAATGGTAGTCTCTCCCCTTGGAAGAAAATACAGCTTTAGGAAATTCTTATCCTTCTAGATGAGTTTGGATAATTGTGGGTGACAATTTTTAAACAGTCAGGGATTGTTTCAAGGGCCAACAACCAAGGTATTTGTCCCCTTTGAGTCTTAACTGTTTTTTTTTTCCAGTCCCAGTGGGAAAGGGCTTCAAGATACCACCAATGGCATTTAATATTCTGCATATACCATGCCTTTAATTTTAGGGGGACACATCACAGTAATTCACTTGGTAACATAGGTCTCACTGTCCACCTGAGGAAGTCTGTGTAACTGCTCCTTGAGTGCTGTGGTTGCCCTCTCCTGAGCTCCTAGCCTGCATTCTGATTTCTAGATCTCATCTCTAGTTCCTTTTGGCCACTCTTTGCTTTAAGGGAATCTGCGCAAAAGGGCTCCCTCCCTTCTAATGAGCATTTGCTGAACTCCACTGACCCTGGGCAGGCTTCCAGCTATTGGGGAAAGCTATGTGTCCCAAGTGGCTCCTTCTGTGGAGGATGGCATACCCCCAACTGCTGTAGAAGGGAGATTGAGGCACAGGAGGCCTGTGCTGTCCTGGGGGAGTGTGTGCTGCAGCTTTAGGTGGGGTGGAGAGGGTACCTCTGTCACAAATCCAGGTGTTTGCTCATGAGAGCTCTCTGATACTTTAGGAATGCTGGAAACCAAGAGATGTGTTACTCTGAGCCCCCTTCTGTGCCACTAATTTTTGTCATTTAGGTTGCTTTCATGAGTAACTTTGTTCAGTGAAACCAGGGTTTGCTCAGGTTTTTTTCTTTGCTACTTACACATTTAAAGGTACAAGTTTCTTATTTCAAATCTCTACTGATAGTGCCCTTTGGGAAGATGCTGGAACACATTTTGCAAATGTGACTTTTTAAAAATTTTGCTTGAAGCCTATGTCATGTCAGTTGCTGCTGCCTTCTTTCCTTTTATGAGGTTCCCAGTGTTTCTTCCAGAAAATTACTTTATTTATGCAAGTCAGGTGACTCTTAGGCCGCAAAACCATTTGATAATAAACAGATTATCATTAGGTGCATATCTTATTGATATTTTGTGAAATGTTATGCCTGTGTTGCAAAAGTTGAATAGTTTTGTCTTTATATAATTGCTGTCTTCAGTGTACAGCATGGTTTTACTTAATTGAATGTTACTGTTTAATATTTTCTTCTTATAGAAGAGACCATGCCCTTTTGTATGACGTTTTAATAAATGTTACCTGTCAATTTTGTAAAGGTTTTGTTTCTCACTCTAATTAGATGACCATGTCTTGTTTTTATTCTGGCTTTTGCCACCAAAAATAAAGTTGCATTATGGCCTTTGGATAAGTAAATGCCCACAGTGAGTTAGTGTTACTGTGCCAGGCATTTATGGTGACTGTCTTGTCAACTCTCCAGCCACATCCAGGCATTCAGAATACTCCCAAGTGCTCCCCAGATCCCCTCCTCATCCTCTACTTCCCCCCAGGAGCCTGGCCCTGGGCACTTGCCCTGGCTGCTGCTCAGGATCCACCAGACACTGAGCAGAGCTTGGCAGCTGAGAGTCAGGAAATTCACTCCCCAGGGCCCACCTCCTAGCTGTGGGTTGGCAATGGCTGGGCTTCTCTGCCAAGGGCCAGGGCTCCAGTCAGGCGACTTCTGAGGTTTGGTACCACACCCTCCCCTTGTCGCTTCAAGTCCAGTATTGCTCCTTTACTCCCTGCTTTTGGCAGCCCTCAAGTACTTTGCTATCCTTGTGTCTGTTTCCTGCCAGGACCCTGTCTTAGATGTCCTCATTTCACAGAGGAGCCAGCTGTGACTTAGACAAGGTAGAATTTCCCAAAGGTTGCAGTGATACAAAGTAGAGCCAGGATTCAAAAGCAGGCCTGCGTGCTCATCACACACACTGGTGTTTTCTCCAAGGCGCTGTAATGTCCTCATGCTCCTCAGTGGTGCTTTTGCTTCACCTCACTTTGCCCTCCCCCATTCCTTTCCCCCAACACCCCAAGGCTTGAGAGGCAGCCGCAGGGCTCTCAGAGCCTGAGCACTGAGGGCCCCAAGTATTTCCTAACAGCTCATTACCAGAGACACTGCTTGTTTTAGACCAAACTTAACTGTCTTCCCACACAAACCTTCTGTCACCACTGTTTGTTGTGAGGTTTTGCCCCCTCCCTCTTGCTGATTTTGAAGCCAGCTCCAGATTGCCTCAGCCAGCCTAGCCCTTCTCTGTGTGGGGACATTCACCTCAAAGAACCACATCTAGCCTTTAACTGAGGTGAGACCTGTCTGTCCTGAGCAAGAGCAAACAGCACAGCCCCTGCAGCATAGTGATCTCACTCCCTCTGTCCCCTCTTGGGGACCCAACAGTGCTCTCCTAGGAAGCAGAGGTTCCCTGGCATGTCTCCCCAGGGGTGGAGGTCCATGGGGCTAGAGATGAGCTGCACATGAAGAGAAAGAAGATGAGTGGCTCGTTTGTGTTTGGGAACAGAAAGGGGTGGGATGGGAGGGATGTCACCCATATGGAGCTTAACAGCACCTGTGCAATTTATTTAGATTTCCTCATAGTCAGCTAAGGGACCCGCTTCTTCCCACCCAGCCACTGAAGCATTCCTTTAGATAGTGCTCATCCCTGGGCATCTGGGGACCCACAGGCCTACAGCTTGCCCACCATCAGTGGACCCAGTATCAGGTCAGCAGCTGGAAATGAGGTAAGCTCAAGATTGCTTTAACAGTTGGGTATTTGGTGAATGATTTTAAATATGATCTTTCTCAGTGCACATAAGTGAAAGAAAAATTCTGTCCTTCTGTTAACGCTATTGAATGTTTTTAAGAAAATGCTCAGGCTGGGGTGTGGCTAGGTGGAGTGCTTTCCTCGCTTGCATGGGGCTCTGGGTTTGATCCCCAGCATTGCAAAAAAAAAAACAACTCTAAAGTTCAGTAAGTGAAGATGGGCATTTGTTTCTCTTAAGGAGAGACCACAAAGGCAGATGGGGGTGGAGAGAAAAATCTCATAGTCTTTTCTGAACTGGTTTAACTAGTTTGAATCAAACCAAACAACTTGATTTTCAGATCTTCTAACACATGTAATTTTTCCAAGCAGATAAGCCAGTTGAACCTTATAAGTAGCTGATGCAGTTACAAGAGAGTTACAGTTGGCCTTTGAAGGAACATGCAGGCTCTATAAAAACATAATTCATAAGCAGTATTGTAGGTAAATATATGTTATTAAAAAAACAGCTGCCTTTTACTTAGACTCTAGTGACTATGAGTTCTATTTTTTTCTCATATTCCAAAAATAAGAAACCAGTACTAAAGTCATTAAGTGTATTTATAACTTAATAAGATACTAGTTACTCCCCAGAGTATACTGGTCTGCCTGATATAACCGCTAACCTTGATGAATGGAAGCAAGAGGCTGCCTCTAGAACCTCTCCTTTCTTGTTAATTTGGGGCCAACAGTGCTGTGATAAAATCTCACTTATTAGGGTTCTCGGGAAAGATCCTCAGCTGCATGTCTCCAGTTATGATGGATGGATGCTAGATCTATAAGCACTGCTGGAGTTACTGTAGGATCTGGCTTAGCTAGAAATTGTAGGCTTTAAAATAATGGCAAAGTGACCTTGAGCCAACCTAGAAAGCATTAATTTTTGCCTAATTCATAATCATAGTGCATCATCATGTGAAGCATCTTTTCTCTGAAGAATACAAGAGATTTTTTTCTTGGGTTTGTTTTTTGCAATACTGGGGATTGGACTCAGGACCTTTGTACTGAGCTGTATCCCTGGCTCGCCCCTCCCCCCTTCCTTTTTTTGAGACAGAGTCTTGCTAAGTTGCTATATTGCCTGGGCTGGGCTCAAACTTTTAATCCTCCTGCCTTAGAATTTCTTTAAACTGCAGTTTTATATATTTATTGGGTTCTGAACACCCACAGAACCCACTGAATCCCATACCTACTTCAGTAGGTCTAAGAAGAGTTGTAGTTGAGTGAAACCGGCTCTTACAGAAAGTCTGTTGCATGCTTAACATGTGTTAAGTACTTACCTTGAGTTAAGTCATTTTTATCAGAATTTCTTTACAGGTCATGAAGCAGGAAAGAATGACAGCCTTATATTGTTGGGGAGATTTTTTTTCCTCCCTGGGGAAAAACCCCTTCTGGCGTCAGCAGTGTTGTCTTATCTGGGGTGAGATTTACACCGTTGCTCTGCACATGCAAACACTCCCCAGCTTGACACCAGGCATTTCAGCTTTTGCTGGATTGTCCTGGTGCTTGTAGATGGGTCACACCAAGTACTCCTTGGGTTGTTGAACTTTGTTGTCTGAGGAGAAATCGAGACTTCAAGCATCAGCACCTACTTGAACTCCTTGTTCAGGAAACTCATGTAGAAATGAATCCCAAGAATGGAGAACCCAGTGATTTTTCAGCCTGGTAGAAAAGTCCCATCAAGCCCTACTCCTAGGAATGGTCAGGGAAAAAGAGGAGAACCCCATCCCCTTTCAGCCAGAGCAGCTTCCATTTCCCTGGACTGGGCCCACCAAAGGCTCACTCCTTGGCTGCAGCTGACACTTACTTACCAGGGCCTCCTGCGTTCCACAGTGTTCTAAAGACCCTCCATAGATTGAATCTTCACCCTCATGCCAAACCTTTGAGGTAGGTGCCAGTGCAGGTGCTATCCCAAGCGGGACACTGACTTGCAGAGACAGTAAGAAACCAGGTCCAGAGTGGCAGAGCCTGATTCAAATCCAGGCAGTCCAAGTTCTGGGCTCCACTGAACTGCAAGTGTTGTTGTCATCCCTGACTGCCAGCTCTGAGTGTCCAGAGTAAACCTCAAGCTATAGTCAGTGCCCCAGGAAGAAAAGAGTTCCAAAGGCCAGAGGCTTATCGGACACTGCCCTGGTGTTTATCTCCAAGAGATTGTGGATCTTCAGCAGAGCCTGCTTATCTCTGTGCTGTAGGCATGGCCCACCCTTTTCGGTTCCCATCAGCCTCCCAGCCACTCCTTCCCAGCAGCCTCCACTGGCACATAGTCTCTTCCCCTTGACTTCTCCAAGGCTTCTATTTTTTTTTTTTTTTGGTACGGGGATCGAACTCAGGTCCTTGCGCTTGTGCAGCAGGCGGCAAAACCACTGAGCTAAATCTCTGGCCCATCTCCAAGGCTTCTAAATGGGTCTGATCCTGTCACCTCCCAAGCAAGGGCCATCAGACCTTAGCTTTGCATCCAAGGCTGTTCCAAGTCTGACAGCCTATTTGTCCTTAATTGCTGCTTTCCACTTGACACCTGGCTGCCCTTCTTCAGCTTCTCATAGTCCTTGCATAGATGACTTTATCTGCTTTGCATACTCACCCTTCTCTTTTCCAACCACCTCTCCTAAACTCTGTTCTAAAGGCTCCTTTCTATTTTTCCAAGCTCTGCAAAAATAATTTCTGTGGCTACTTCCCTGAGTACCATAGAAACTTCACACCACTTTTATCCCATTTTGTGTGTCTGTGTGTGTGTGTGTGTGTGTGTCTGTGTGTGTGTGTGTGTGTTACTGGCATTGAATCTAGGGCCATTACACTAAGCTATATCTAAGCTGTTTCTGTTTTTTTTTTTTTTTTTTTGAGACAGGGTCTCACTATATAGTTCATGCGAGCCTTGAACTCACTATGTAGCCCAGGCTGACCTCAAAGTGATCCTCTTGCCTCAGCCTCTCAAGTGCTGGGATTATAGGCATGTGCCACCACACCCAGCATCTAGCCCTTTTTTGTATTTTATTTCAAAACGAGACTAAGTCACTAAATTGCCCAGGCTGTGCTTGGACTTGTGATCTTCCTGCCTTGCCCTCCCAGAGTATTGGGATTACAAGCATAGGCCACCATACCCAGTTAGTATTTCATTTTAAACTTAGCTCTGTGCTGGCACTTGTCACCGTTCACCACCCCACAGTATGTTAGTCACTTTCTCATCACCTAGCACCCACAACTTAAAGGATAAAAGGTTTATTTGGAGTCATGGTTTAGTCCACAGTCAGCCAGCTCCAAGGCAGAATGGCATGGCAGAGGGGCATAGTAGAAGAAAAGCTGCTTACACCATGGCATGGCAGCCAGGAAGTAGAGAAGGGAAGAACTGGGAAGGGAGATGTACCCTCCCAGGTCATCCCCCCGTGACCCACTTCTTGGACCAGACCCCACCTGCTAACAGCAAGTCAGCTACATGGCCCATGATCCAGTCCTCTTCCAAGAGCTCTGCATATGAGCACATGAGGCCTTTGGGGACCATTCTCCATATAAACCATAACACATACCCATGTCCCCTGCTGCATAATAAGTTCCTCAGAAACAGGAACTGTCTTAGTCTTCTCTGAATGGCTGCCCCAGCACAATCCTGATGCACAGTCAATAGATTTTTTAAAAATGCATATGTATGGTTGAGTTTGTTGGGGTTTTTTTTGGTACCAGGGATTGAACTTGGGGCCTTGCGCTTGTGAGCCAGGCAGCAGAACTGCTGAGCTAAATCCCTGGCCCTATGGTTGAGTTTTTATCCACCAGATACTGCCATGCACTTAGAGACTGAGGATATGGCTCAGTGGCAGAGCACATTCCTAGTACACATGAGGATCAGGGGTTCATCCCTAGCACTCCAAAAACAACAACTTCTTAAGAAGTATGGGCGCCCAAAAATATTAGAAAGTTGCTGAAATTGCCTGTTAGCTGAGAATTCTGAGATAAGTATTGGTTCTCTTTCAACTCAAATGAAAGATTTTATATCTAAGCAGGTAACTAGGCTATAATACTGGGCACTGGTTTAAAGTCAGGCAGAAGAGAGCAGTGGGATTTGTTAAGAAAAGGATTTCTGGGGGCCGAGGATTTAGCTCAGTGGTGCCACCGCCTGCCCCGCAAGCGCAAGGATCCGAGTTCGATCCCAGTACCAAAAAAAAAAGAAAAGGATTTCTGGTAGTGAAAAGTCAATGAATATCAGCAGAATAACTCACAGCTGAAACTTGCTTAGGCAGTGGAACAAATTGAACTGTCATATTCCTTATTCAACCTACCAGCCCTGGACATAGCTCATTGGTAGGGTGCTTGTTTAGCATGTGCAATGCCCTGGTTCAATCCCCAGCTCCACACATAAATGAAACAAATACACTAACCCTCTTGTTCAAACAGTGATCGATTCTGTTGTTAATTTTTACTAGGAAGCTTGTTCTAAAAGGGCATACTTTGAATGAGATTTTGGCACACACTAAAGCAGATGGTTATATGTTATTTGGTGCTTCCTCTAATACTAAAATTTGTGACAATTGATTAAGGACCAAAAGTTGCTTTTGGACAACTTTCAAATTATGACTTTGCCAATCTGAGCTTTAAGAGTAGAATGTGATAGTTGGAACACACAGAATCTGGGCCAGACAATATGGGGGATTATAGTAATAAAAACTGATGTGAACTGGCTCTAAAGGAGGCATGATATGAGTCTTTTCTGACTACCTGAAATTAGAAAGGCCACTGTTGAAGTCTGAGTCACAGAAGGATCTGCCAAGGAGTTATTGTGCAGTTCTCTGTGCGAGGCCTCCAAGGACTCCCAGAGCAATTGTTTCCAATCTCTTCAAACACAAGGATCATTTTGAATATTGGAGTACTTTGCAGAACTTCCTCCCTCACCGTGTGATAATAGATAGATCAAGAAAAACTTGAAATCACTAAACGCTATTATGAATTCAGTAATGCTACTGTGTTGCATTTATATTTGTTCAAAATGTGTACTGTTGGCTAGTACGCAAACATGGAAGACCTCAAATTACCTTTATATCTAGAGTCTTTGGTTCAGTCATTTAATCTTTTATTTACCAAATATTTATGTATGAGAGGGAGTCTTGCTAATTATTGCACAAGCTAGCTTCAAACTTCTGGGTTCAAGTCGTACTTCAGCCTCCCAAGTACCTGGGACTACAGGCACATACCACATAGTTTGCTAAATTTAGGAAACCAGACTTGTAAGTAAGATTTAACCAGGAACTTCAAGAGAACAATTCTTAAGCAAAGCTAAGTGGGTGGTAGTCAGGGCACTGTTAGCTGTGGATAAGATTCATGCAACTGAGCTTAACTGATCTGAACAGATCCAAGTTACAGCCACTTCTTCTAAATGCTGTATAATTATCCATCCTCAATATCTATCACCTGTGTCTTTGGATTTTCAGTTAGCTCATCACTTATCACCACCTCAGAGTGGAAAGAGACAGAACTTCCTCATTAAAGATTACTCTATCTATCTTGCAGGATTTTCCCATTCCCTTTTTGAGCAGAACCCCTTTCTCATACTGCATCCACCATAGTTCAATACACTGAATTCACCAGGACAATATGGAAGCTATAGAATAAATCAGCAGTAGTTTTCCAAGGAGTTCTCTATCCAGGAAGCAGACTCGTGCTTTGAACACACACACACACACACACACACATACACACACACACAGCCTAATACTCCATGCTTTTGTATACACTGGGATAGTATCAGCAAATGAAATGGACTTTTAAAAAATCCCTTCTCTGGCCAGGGATTTAGCTCAGTGGTGCTGCCGCCTGCCTTGAAAGCACAAGGTCCCAAGTTCAATCCCTGGTACCAAAAAAAAAAAAAAATCCCTTCTCTCCTGGGGTTTCCATTCTAGAAACAGGTAAGATTGGTATCTCTTTGACCCTAAGGAGAAGTGCCACAGACTGACACAACAATGGGATGACTAGGACCATGCAGGAAGGGTCATTTGGACTCCAGCCTGTGGAAATGTGAAGAAGCCTTCCTACCCAGAGGGAAAAGTGTGAGGAAAGGCATGGAGAAAGTGGGAAAGTGTGATAGTAACTATGGGAATCCAGTAGGAAAGGTAGTTGGGTGCCAGGTGGCTACCATGTAATGTATATCAATTACTGAGCATTTACCTGTGTCAGGCTCTATGCTCTATTCTTTTTTTTTTTTTTTGGTACGGGGGATTGAACTCGGGAGCTTGCGCTTGCAATGCAGGTGCCAGAACCACTGAGCTAAATCCCTGGCTCTATGCTCTATTCTTTATGTGTAGTATCTCATTAGATCTTTACCACAACACAGCTTGAAGGGTAAAGGGAAACTGAGGCTTAAAGAGACTAAGTAAGTGGAAGAGCTGGAATTCTAAAGTAGGTCACCTGACTCTGGCACCCAAATCATGATAACCAGGCCAAGGAGGGTGGATGTGATTTAGTAGGGGAACATCAAAGCCTGTCGGGTAGATGAACTTGATGAAATGATGTCGCCTAGAATGTGGCATTTGTGCTGCATTCCCTGCTTGGGTTGAGTGACTAATAATAGGTTTGCCAATGAAGTCTTTTGGGTGTGGAACAGGTGCCTGGAGGGAGGAGCAATCAGGAGCCCAGGTAGATTGATTTCAGAATCAGTGATGAAATGGGGCAAGCCCAGTTTCGATAGCTTCAAGGGGGCCCACTGTTAAACCTAGAGCCATCTAAGAACAAGAACTGTGGAGGCTCCTTCTAAACTTGGTTTTCTTCCACGAGACTTTTGCTTCAGGCACGGGTCAGGTGCTCTCCAGTCACGCATGCATGCAAACTCCAGTTTACAATTCCTCTAATATAATTCAAAAATTGTCAGTGTCCCCAAAATAAATGACACTCGCCTCTTGCTCTCTGTGATTGTTGTGATGGAAAGGGTGGTTAGCAGAGAGTGTCATAAACCCTATCCCCTCGCACCTGCACTCCATTAAATCTGACTGCTAGGCTTGAAGGTGACTGTCCACCACTCCTGTCCTCATTCTCTTTTACCTAGTGTATAGCACCAGCCTGGGCTCCCCACTCTGGTTCACCCTGTGCTCTCTCCTGTCTGCCTCTCTTTCCCCTCCAGTCACCAGCCTGCTCAGAAACCTTCATAGGGTCCCCAGTTCCTACCACAGCTGGCCCAAATTCTCCAGACTTATGTCTTAAACTTCCTTTCTGTTTGGTTCCTCCCCTATTTCTCTATTCTACCCACTCTACTCTCCAGACAAATTTCATCTCCCTTGGACATTCCCTCAACTTCCCCATACACATGACCATTGCTAAATGCTGTGCACTTTGCTGAGGACGCC